ACTAGTTTCCACAAATATTTCCTTCATTAGCGACTTCATTGGTATGATCATACTTGTACTGCAAGACATGCTATCTGATCTGGATATGGAATTAATCATATCCTTCATATGTGTTAAAGTTCCTACAATCTAGGAACTGGCATGCACTACAAGTAATCACAACTCTTAAAAGGGTGCAATATCTCTTGTGGGACCATGATTTTTTAGCGCTAGAGTAAGGTTGATCAGAATATTGTTACCTCAAAAGTCCCTTCATTGACTCAACAACTCTTAACGAACCTGGATCAGATGGAGCAGCAATGTCACCCATCACTCTGTTCCGAGGCAATAGGCGAATTCGTAGTGACTCTGCTTGAATAACCAAGCTTATTTCGCAAGGCACACGATCTAATCTGGATATGGAATCAATCTGATCCCTTTTTTTTCTTGAAATTCCTACAATTTAGGAATTGGCGTGTGCCACAAGTAATCGCAACTCCTAATATCTACTTATGGATATCCTTTAAGATTCTCCTGGCTTAGAACAAGGTATACTAAAAAGGTCTCTCTCCTAACGACTCACTTGACTTTGTCACGAATCGCAACCCACGACAGCGTCACAACCATGACCCATGATGCTGTCACAACCAAAAACCCACATATTCACGCTATAAAACCATGCAACCACATCAAACCCAAATTCAATTTGTACACGTTACTGCAAATTGAACTCGTACTTAGTCTATGTACCATCTTATATAAATTTATCAAAAACTCGTTGGTCACGAACTGCGCTCAACGCTGGTCGTGATGACCCCCAGAATGCCGTTTGAGATAAGAAAGAAAGAGAGAGACAATTTCTAAAGAGAGAGATGATGATGATGACATAGGAGGAGAGGAAGATTGCATGCTACATTGCTAATCTTGCGTTGCCTCGCGATGGGATTGTAACCCGTGTGTAAAGATAGGTTAGATAACCTACTCTATTGTGGATGCATAACCCATCCCGTCCACCTTCTATTTTGATATAACAAATAATTGACTCGACTCAAAATCCATTTTAATTGGTCATAACTCATCCCAGTCGGCCCACTAAACATACTCTATATGTACTAAAAACATATGAATCTGTATGTGCTTTTACGCGCACACATACGCTCTAGCAAGTGACTATACGCTTTCGCGCGCACACATACGCTCTAGCAAGTGACTATACGCTTTCGCACACACACATATGCTCTAGCAATTGCCCTCATGCTATGCACAAAGTATGCAATCCACATCTATTTGGGTACCTATAATAAGGTATGTTGTCATTGAATCACTATTACCCAATCAAAACTGGTCATTTGTTAAACATTAAATATAATTTATTTTTTTATGTTTTTAGTTATTGTTTTTGTTTTTTTTACCAACTTTTATTTTTATAATTATGTGAATAATTGAACATGAACACGTGTCAAGTTTAAATTGGTTTTGTCATGCCACTAAGCATATTATTTTTGGGCTTCTAAAGTTAATTGGGTTATTTGGACCTTGCGACCTTTGGTTAGACTAGCACGGGCCGAAATTTAACCTTATTTTTTTGTTTGTAAACTAAAATCCCTTCAATTTTTTTTTAAAAAAATAATGCTAAGTTGAACTGAAATTTTGATAACTAGCCATATTTTGTACCAAGAAATGAATTTTGGCATACCTTTTGTCATTCTTACAAATTCAACAAAAAAAAAATCATATAGAATTTCTAAAATATCCTTGAGTTAAAACACTAATTACCCTTTCCATCCCTTCTCCCAAATCTTTAGAAAAAGAGAATCATTGTCGACTACGTAAGGCTATCTCCAACCGAACGCTGGTCAAAGGGTTTGTTTTATCCCTCTGGTCCTCCAAGAAATTAATATTTTAATGAACATAATAGGGCCGTATTTGCCTCCATCTCCAATCGAGGGCCAAAAGCTCATATGGCTCGTTTTAACCCAATCACAAAAAACCGTCTCCAACCAAAGGCCAAAGAGCCAAACATAATTTATTATTTAAAAATTACAACTTAAATTCAAATCCAACGGCTAAGTGACGTCAGCTAGCCGTTTGATTTGAATTTTTTTTTGGCTATAAATAAGGTGGATATTGGGCTATAATTCACACAACTTTGAATTCAATCTATTTCAATTCAATCTCTTTCAATTCAAGTTTGCAATGAATTCCAATTAGGGGTCCTTATCCAATTCCAAATTGGAAGAAAAATGGGCACAAATGATACGAGAAAATAAGGAGTTTGATGAAGAAGTTCAAGTAAAGAGCAACAAACAAAACAGGGTAGCAACCATGGTGTGTCAGCCAACTGAGGAACAACCTCAATGGGGTGGCTCTGTTGCTGGTCGCTCTTACAAACCACGAAACAAAGCGATGATGCATGCCAATCTGATGAACAGCTACTTCAACCCCAACTCAGTGTACATATAAGAGGATTTTAGACGTTGCTTCTGGTTGAGGGTTCATGTCTTCGAGCATTTACTTCGTGATATCTAGCAGGTCAATCCATACTTTCGATGGATGAAACCCATGGTATGTCTAAGTCTACATGCCTTGATACTCTTGAACAATTTTGTGATACAATTGTTCAGGGTTACAAAGACTAGTACCTCTGTGAGCCAAATCAAGAAGATCTGAATCGGCTCATTTGCAAAGCTGAAGACCGTGGGTTTCCGGGCATAATAAGGTCATTAGACTGCATGCATTGGGAATGGAAGAATTGTCCCACCGGATGGCAATGAGGCTTCTGCGGAAGGTTGAGAAAGCCAATTGTTGTGTTAGAGGCGGTTGCCTCATATGACATATGGATCTGGCATGCTTTCTTTAGAGTCCTTAGATCTCAAAATGACATTACAGTTCTTGGGCGTTCACCTATCTGCAATTGCCTAACGAAAGGTAAAGCACATAAGCTTGACTACTACATCAACGGCCGTCAGTACAATATGGGGTATTACTTGGCAGATGACATCCACCCAATGTGGGCGACACTTGTCCAAGCAATTCCAAACCCTAGGAATGACACGGAAAAGTTGTTTACCTTACACCAAGAGGCATACCGGAAAGATGTTGAGAGAGCTTCCCATGCCACAAATAAGTACCTACAGCAGGGATCTTGTTGCACATCTTTGGGCCAAAAATAGCATGAAGTAGGTGTTTAAGTTTTATGTTGTATAATTTTTATGTTGGTTAATGTTATTTAATGTGTTTTATATTGTTTAATGTTGTTTCATGTTACTTAATTTAATTTAATGTTGTATAATGGTTTAGGAAGATATAGGAAAAAATAGAATTTAAAAATTGTATGAAACAAATTTTGTAAAATAGAAGTTATGGGAAAAAATAGAATTTAAAAAAAAATATGAAACAAATTTTGTAAAATAGAAGTTATAGGAAAAAATTATAATTTAGAAATAAATATAAAACAAATTTTGTAAAACATAAGTTATAGGAAAAAAATTGTGTAAAAAATAAAAAATAAAAACAGTAAAAATAAAAAATTCAAAAATAACGGCTAGCTGACGTTAGCTAACCATTGCATTTGAAATTTGGCCTAGAATTCCTGTTGATTATATCCAACAAGAATTGTAACATCCCACATCGAGCAACGGAGATGGGGTGATGTGTCTTATATGTACATGCCCACCTCCAACTCTGAAGTTAAGTGAGTTCAGGTAAGAGCATTCTCAGGATGGGTGATCCACTGAGAAGTTCTCGTGTGAGTTCCCAGAAACAAAACTATGAGGGCGTGGTTGGGGCCCAAAGCGGACAATATCATGCTACGGCGGAGCCAGTCTAAGATGTGACAGAATTGTATTAAAGTCATTCTACCGTGTGGTGCGAGTGTGCTGACGAGGACATCGGGCCCCTAAGGGGGGATTGTAACATCCCACATCGATCAACAAAGATGGGATGATGTGCCTTATATGTACATGCCCAACTCCATACAGCACGAGGCTTTTTAGGGACTCACTGGCTTCGGATTCCATTGGAACTCCGAAGTTAAGCGAGTTTGGGTGAGAGCATTTCTAGGATGAGTGACCCATTGGGAAGTTCTCGTGGGAGTTCCCAGAAACAAAACTATTAGGGTGTGGCCGGGGCCCAAAGTAGACAATACTGTGCTACAACGGAGCCGGTCTGGGATGTGACAGGAATGCTAGAATTTTTGGCCCAGCCCAAGGCTAGCTAGCTGGATTGGGCCAACCGGTTGGCCCTTTGGCCCTTTCAGATTCCGTGGGGCCCACAAGTCCTTTGGCCTAGCCCTCGGTTGGAGACGGTTTTCAGACTATTTTTGGCCTTCTGGACCATTCGGTTGGAAATGGCCTAATGACATCGTCACGTGCAAGCCTTGGATTCTAGTGGACTGGGCATTCCAATGGCGGCAAAATTTCAACAGCGGTTGACGCAACCGACAAGCCTACTGAGGCGGGGTGTGCCAGTGATGACGTTTCTCCATACAAAAAAAGTCATCTGGACCATTCGGTTGGAGATGGCCTAATGACATCGTCACGTGCAAGCCTTGGATTCCAGTGGACTGGGCATTCCAATGGCGGCAAAATTTCAACAGCGGTTGATGCAGCCTACAAGCTGACTGAGGCGGGGTGTGCCAATGATGACGTTTCTCCATACAAAAAAAAAAGAAAAACATGTAGGGGTCTCCTAGTCTAATTAGAGCCGGGGAACAAAGGATTCAGTAATTTCTAAGTCCAACAACTTCCTCCTATTTCCCATAAGAATCAAATTTCCAGGCAATAAAGCCATTCTTTCGGTAATTTCTCCATTTAGGATAATTTTCATAACTCAAGGGTATTATAGAATTTTTATATCGATTTTTGGTTAAATTTATAAAAAATTTAAAAAGTTATCCCGAAATTTAATGGTTGCTGCAAAAATCCCGCTCGTTGACAACTTCATCGCTGAAATCTCTGATATATTCAAAACTAATATTTAATAAAAATGCAAATTAATTCTTAAAAAAGCTGAGTTGCAGTAAGCACTTCCTAACTGTTTTCTTTAACCCAAAATCACTATCTAGAAAGCGCTTTCACTTCCCAAACCACCCTAATGAGTGATGACTGAGAGAGAGCCATGGCGGCCCCCGTCTCTCACCTCCCCGCCTTCCTCTCCCTCTTCTCTCACAAGCTCTTCTTCGCCCACCCGCACCAGCAATCCACTCTCGGATTCACCGCCCTACAACGCTGTCCACCGCCGCCGCGCTGCACCCTTCGCGCTTCTTCCGTCAGGAAGAAAACTAGGTTCGCATTCCCCGTCTCCACTCTTCGCTTTCACTTCTACAATTCTTTCTTCTTCTTCTCACTTTCGTGTTTTGGAATTTTGAGTAGGAAGGTAAAGAGCAATGCGGAGCTCTGCAATGATCTCCGGCAGTTCCTCACTGCGGTCGGACTTTCGGAATGTCACGTTCCATCCTTGAAGGAGCTCTCGCAGCACGGAAGGTTCGAACTTGTTCCATCACTTTTCTGATAAATTTTGGTTCTTTTTCCCCTCGCCAGAATTTGATTAGTTAGGGTTTATCAGTGAAACTGAAAGATTTAGTTGGAATTACAATTGCCTCTTTGATTTCTCTGAAGTTTCGAGAACGTTTGGATTAACAATTGCTGCTTGCTTGTTGTCATTTTTGTTTTCTTCAACAAATTTTGACATTAGTGGCAACGGTAGTATAGTCTTAATGTTATGTTATATTACATATATATATATATGTATATATGTATGCGTGTGTGTGTTTGTATATATATTATAGTTTTGACTTGGAGACTTCATAAATTGGAGCAAGTCTGACATTTTTGTTTTATCAAAAATGACGAATAGGAATGATCTTGCAAACATCGTCAGACGAAGAGGATATAAACTTATAAGAGAGCTTCTTGTGGACTCGAGCAATACAGATACCAATGGTAATGCCGATACCGGATTTGCTGGAATTCAGGATGCAATCAATGATCGTAAAGAGATAGTAACAGGTCAATATATATTTTTTATGTTTGCAACCTTATTTTATAGTATATGCAACTGTTACTGATAGCCTCTTTAACAATTTAAAAGGTCAGGATCAAGAGGTGAATGATGTGATTGAGGATTTTTCTTCGTCAACTGAAGTTTCAGACTTGGAAAGTAATTCTGGTAGTTTGATTTCTCCTCCCGATCTGAGCCTCAATGACAGTGATATTACCGTGGAGTCTTCAGCTGATTTGTATAATTTAGACGGTCATAGTGAGCAGGTGGATGTGAATGGAAATGGTTCTGTGTCAACCGAATTTTCTGTTACGGAAAACCAATCCAGGAGTTCTAAAATTTGTCCACACTTCAACTCTGACATTGGTACTAATATGCCTTCAGAAATTTTCACCCCTTCATCCTTCGGCGAACTTGATGACCTATCCTTGTCAACCACTTATCATATCAAAGAAACCAATTCTTCCAGTTCAAATGTTGGTTTGGATCTGAACTCCGATGGACGTCCTTGCATGCCTGTAGAATCTGTTGATGGTTTGTCATTGGATGAAAAGGTCTTAGATATATGTCAGGATGGGAAGGTTGACAATATGGCTAATGAAGATTGCTCTTCAACCACAGTTTCCGTTTTGGAAGACCATTCTAGTTCAGATCTTGATCCAAGTCACAACTCTGATCATCATAGTTATCCGCCTTTAGAATCTCCACCCAATTTATCCTTGAAGGAAAAAGTGGAAAACTTTATGCAGAATGGAGACTTGGATGCAGTTGAAGGTAACTTGCCTTAAGATGCCTTGCTTTCAATTTTTTTTTTTCACATTTAATTTTGTTCTGCTAATTAATTTTTTTTTTAGTTCATGTGCACTATCAATGATGTTTCTTTTCTTGTTTGTTGTCACTGTTGATTTTTTTTAGCACTAAATCATTCAGTTGTATGCTTATATTCACACTGTTCATTACTAAATATACTTAACCTTCATGCTATTTGTTACATGCTTCCCTTTCATCCTTCTTTCACCTTAATTCTTTGTTTCTTTCATATTTGATATTTACTCGGAGCTTCTTGATACAGATAATGTCTATGGCATATTAACTGAGAATAATGATGAAGAAATCAAGGAAGAATATAGATTTGGAAACACTGAGGAGGTTCAAATAAGAATTCCTAAAAATGTGCCTGACAGAAGTGATGCAATTATGGCATTGAATCAAAGGACATCAACATCAACTACGGCAGTTGATCCCTCTCTTAGGTTGGTAACTTGTGCATCTGTCCAAAGTTCCTTGTTTTCTTCTCTAATTATTATTGTTTCTTCCATTCTGCATGTGGTTACTATTCAACCTAATTTTGTTGTAAAACCCCAAAGAATGACGTTATAAGAATCCGAATTTTTAGATTATGCTCTTAAGGATCTGGAGGTCAAATGTGATGCATGACTGAACAGTGTTTTATTGTATTCTTAATTTTATAAAGAACTTTTTTGTGTTTATAAAGCAGGGAGGATAGTTCATCAACTGAAGGGCTGAGTTCTCTATATGACAAGGATTTGGATGATAAGGTCATTACTTAACTCTTAACTATGTTACTTCTAACATCAACTTTGACAACAATATCACATTGACCGTTGTGTTTTTGTTTTACAGACAAGTGAAAGTGAGGATCGACTTGAACTTAATCATCTCAAGTTCATGCTGGTACTATTCTCTTAACGTTCTGCTTACGCCATGTAGCGTTCTATATACTTGAATTGTTGATTATAATTTTGATTATATTCTTTTTCTTAGCATCAGAAGGAGATGGAATTGTCACGGTTGAAAGAACAGATTGAGAAGGAAGAGGTATGTTAGCTATTTTGGGCGCTCATGACCTTGTTCACGGTATCAAAATATAGAAATATGTATGATCCATCCGATTTTTTTGCTTGTGATCCATCTGATTTTGCTTGTGTTTGCATGCAATTTTTTTCCATGGGAGTTTCATACTTTTATGGGCAATATGATTACTGATCTGATTATAGTGGATTTTACTTCTTCCTTCAGCTTTTTTTGTCAAACTTGCAAACCAAGTCTGAAATGGCAATGAGCAAAGCACAAAAGCTTGTCTCTGAAAAAGATGCAGAGTTACTTGCTGATGAAGAAAGCCTTTCAGGATTAGTGGAGGTATCACATCTACCATTTTGCTGGACATATTTTTGTATATATTTAATTATGCTATTAGAGCGTCTTGGCAGTGAGTAGGATGTTTTCTAAGCAACGAAAGTCCTAGTAATCATCGCTGACTTTTCATCATTCATGCATAAGCAAATTCTCATACATAACATGTATACAAATTACAAAAATCTCATACATACACTGATACACCATTTGCATGAACGGAATTCCTGATTTCATCAGGTTGAGATTCAGTACCAGGGAGATGGCGAGATTGTGGAGGTGACTGGTAGCTTCAATGGTTGGTATCATCAGATTGAAATGGATTCACAGCCATCATCTAGTATCATAGAGAGGTCTTAACACTCCTTTTCTCTGTATAATTTGGCCTCAAACTTTCATTTTATCTTGCTGCTTCCGTTGTGCCTAATTTGCATTTTATCTTTCCTGAAGATTTGTCATAATCAGTTGACATATTATTGTAGGTTATTGTTAATCTTCCCTTTTATTGCCGTGCTATTTCTCCATTGAAAATAGTTCAAGTGTTTTATATGCTTGATGCTCAGAAATATTAGTGGAATAATGAGCTTACTGATCGCTAGGACTACACGTTCTTGCAGGGAACCTAGACTATGGTCAACAATGCTGTGGCTTTATCCAGGGACGTATGAGGTGTGCACATCTAGCAGCTAAACGATATGACATTTTTTGTCTTTGGCGAGGAGTGTGAACCTTGAATAACTGTATCTGATGTGAAATGTTGTTAACTGCAGATAAAATTCATTGTTGATGGCCAATGGATGATTGATCCTCAAAGAGAGTCAGTAACCAGGGGTACCATATGTAACAACATTCTCCATGTCAACAGATGAATTGGCTCTGGCAGGGAAGTCCACCATCTGCCTTTCACCGCGGTAAATAACCATATATACATCTCACAAGAAGACCAATTTCCACATTCAAAATCAAATGCATGAAACCATACGGTTTCACTTTTCCCATTATGATGATGATTCTTGCAATGGATAGTTTTCTAAGATCCTCGCTTGTTTAACGTAGCGGGTACAAATTTATTTCCATTCTTGTTGATCATACACTTAATTTAACTTCTATATGTCAAATGTGTGTGCAGACAAGGAGCCAGATTATCTACTACAATTGAAGTTGAAGCAGTCTAAGCCTATGCCATCTGAACAAGAAAGTGAATTGAAGACCACGCACGCAGAAGGAGATACGAGGCGGGCAGAGTCGAGGAGCGAAATGGTCTTATGCTTCGCAATGTATATATATCCGCCAGTCGCCATGGCTTTTAAGTTCGTAATGATTTTCGTTTTCCTGGTAGGTTTGTCTTAATAATAATTCTCTTCAAGGAAGGGATTCTCTGTTCTTAAGAATATAGTCAGCATTTACGGTAGCAATGCACTTGTTAGAAAAATATATTAGTATTGGAGTATCAAGATATTAATAACGAAATAATGCTGCACTAGTTAGATGCAGAGTTTCAAGATTTTGCACCGGGAAATGCAAAAATTCTACAATTTTATACTCTGGATTGTTTTAACCATTAAATATTAATTTTTGTATTTTTAATTGAAGACCTAAATGTTAAAACACTTGTACTATGAGATACACAGGGGCGTGTAAAAAAATCCCTTGAAAAATGGGGCTATCTTGAGATTCAACTTACTTTTTTTTATTTCTGGTTGAAAAAAAAAATACTCAAAACAATAAACAATATCATCATATTAAGTGAATCACGTATTATCATGTATTTAAATAATTTACATGTAATTACGTGATTAATTTGAAACACTAACACGTTGACATCCCACAACTACATGGAAGTCCTCGTTTCACAAAGTCAGTCGCCAAAAGGCACCAAAAGAGATGGGCTTGTAGATTGTAAGGTGCTCGCGTGGAAACCGCGTGGAAAGTTCATTGCCTGTGGCTGTCCATCACATGCTATACCAATGAGAAATTGTTCAGTGTCGAGAATCTCTCTCTATTCCTATTCACCCACAGTCGTGTCTCCTTCCTCGCCATTCCCACTACCCTCCCTACTTCTCTGTTATCTTCTCCCTTGCTTTCTCTCGCTCTCTCACTCTACTCTCTCTCTCTCTGTCTACCAATGGCTATGGTTACTGCCTCTTCTCACCTCTCTCTGAATCTGTCTCCTCCTCTTGTGCTTCGTGCCTCTCGATTTCCGACCAATGCTCGACCACCTTCCTCCAAATGCTTCCCTGCGCCAATGCCACCAGTAACTTCCGCGTCAGCAAGTAGCAGAAGTAGAAAAACTCTCCTATCTCCGTTTGTGATCAACAACGACAAATTCAGTTTAGACATTGTTGAAGATGATGACGCGGCTGACCAAAAACAACAAGTGGGGAATGCCAATGCGAATGAGACCCTTCTCTACTCTTCAGTCCTTTGCCTCTGCTGCTCCTGGCTGTTCTTCCTGGAGGTATACCTATGATTTTAACTCTAACATTTTTCAGTATATACCTGACTGACTTGATGTTTTATTTATGTGAGAATGCAACCCCACTTCGGAAACTTGACATGATATATTACATACTTATTATCAAATGGTTCCACTTCTAATTGCATGAGGCCTCTTACTTTGTGACAAAATCTAACACCTGTCGAGCGCATGTGGTTATGTTACTTTGAAATCTTGACAACTTTTCTGAGGATAATATTTCACCAATTACTTTTAATCTGCTGGGTTTTATAGCTTTAAATAGGAATTTTGTAAGCTTCGTTTTCTAAATTTTGGGGATTATTTCTGATTTTCTGTAACTTTTTTCTAAGTTGGTTCCTTTCATCGTTGCAGTTATAAGACTTGCTACATTTATCCTTGCATTGCTATCTGCTTCTAAAGCATAAACAGTCCTTTCATCACAGAAGCTAGATGTCTATCACGTTTAAAACTAATCTTACTGATATTATACTAATCTGAAAATTTGGATACTAGCTGCTACTGTGGCATCTCTGTTCGAGCCTTTCGTTGAGCTTGTCAAATCGTTTGGTCTTCCTGGCTGGCTAGTACATTGGGGTCACCCGGGCAACATGGTATGCCACTTTACTCTGCTAAGTAAAATAATGTACCTCTCTTAATCATGTCACACTGGCCTTGAAAGATAGTCGTCTAAAGTTGCTTGACATTATTGTCTATGGCTTCATGTATTTTGTAGGCTGTTGTGCTTTTCGCTATGGGCGGCTATGGAACATATCTTGGTTATCGGATACGCTTTTCAGATGATGTGGTATGAACCCAACAGCATCATATGTTTCGATAAACCAATCACGCCTAACATTTTAAGTAGTACATCGATCGTGATATGTTCTGGTCATTTCAGGAGGAGAGGGCCCATGCCAAAGACTTGCATCCCAAGCTTCTTGCAGGGATGTTTTTCTTCTTTGCTCTTGGAGCAACTGGAGGAGTAACGTCTCTTCTCACTTCGGACAAATCCATTTTTGAAAGGTAAAAAAAAAATATGCTTCACTAAATTTCATTTTCTGTAAATTTTCATATCAGTTATTTGGAAGACTACAAATACAACGAAAGCGATCGGTTCGTGTACTTTACTAAGGCTGAAATTAATCTGTATCTATGTTTGCAGCCCTCATGCTGTTACAGGGATCATTGGTCTTAGCCTCTTGACCATACAAACAATTTTACCTGCTTTGTTTGAGGTAATATTTATTCTGAAACAACACAGATACAGATCACAACACGTAAGGAGTCATTCCTCCTTGCAGACAAATCACAGTTTGACGTGTGTGTTCAACTTTTTTCTGCCATGATTTTAATGAGTCACTTTTCAATATTTTATCGGATTGAGAGAAACGACTCCTTAAACAAGTCAAACGGTGTTGAGTGTTTTTCTTGATAACTTCGTCTACGCTCTATTTCTTTTTCCGCTTGTTGTATTATTTATCATGCAACTCAGTTTTTTGTTCTTTCTTTTTTAATTTTTACAGGGTAAACCTGAATTAAGAACAGTTCATGGGGTGTTGGGCACTGGGATCATGACATTGTTTGTTGTCCATGCTGCCCTTGGACTTCAACTTGGCCTAAGCTACTAATATTATCTTTTCCATGCCTTAAGCTAGTTTCCTTGTACTTTCTATCATTCATTTTAGCTTCTTATATCCTTTTACACACTTGGTTTATCAGTATCAGGCAATCAGCAAACTCAATTGGTTAAAAGCCAATTGAGGCATGGGAGACTTACCTGCTTATCATTGGTTATAAGCCAAAGATTAACCACTAATTATAGCACAATTGTTTGTCTTCTATTTAAATTTATAGAATGTTTTCAGTGGTATGCAAGCAACCAAGTTATGATATAATTGACTTCATGGTGAAATTTTGTTGCAAATTCAGTGCACTAATCGCCACTTAGTACTACGGTCTGGTGGTATTCTTCTTTACTTGTAAGTGAAAGGTTTTAGGTTCGAATCTCGTGAATGTGAATTCGATACCAAATTAGGTTGCTGGTGGCTTAGCCAAACTCCTCCCTCCCCTTAATGTAAAATATATCGTTAAACTAAAACAAAAGAAATTTCAGTGCACTAATCTGATGACATGAAACTGACAGTAGGTAATAGTCATTCCATATATTATATCATAAGCTTTAGATATGATTAGGTCTGGCATCAATTGGATAACCTCATTATGATTCACATCTCAGGGATTGGACGCAGGCTAACTACTGATCATAACATGTTGTCTCACTAACTAGCTAATCAGAAGCAAGTCCCTCGTTGGTGAGTGATCACATGTTGTGACATAATGCTAATTTTGTGACTCGTCATCGATTGAGGCTTCGCCCGGACAAGAGAACTGGGCTAGCAAAGACCTAAACATGTTTCACACAACCCATGAGGTGTTGCCAAACAAGGAGGACTTACATGAAACGGGGACATTGCAGTGCCCCAAACTACTAATCCAACGTCACGGAGGTGTTGAACTAGTGTCAAATTTAATATGTACGAGTTTGCATTTGTATATAAGCCTGAAATGGAATTTGATCTCAATAGAGATAGTTGATCATTTGTCATGCAACTCATGCCACGTCTCTCTCTTTCTTCACATAACCAAACATGTTGTATACAACTGATGAGCCTAAGCAACAAGTTAGCGACGGGTGCAAAATTTGAGTATGCCAAACTGAGGCATGTGCGAGCGATCTGCTACTTTTTTGGCTAAAAGCCAAAAATTAAACGCTAATTATGACACAATTGTTTGTCTTTCATTAAAATATTTATAGAATAGTTTCAATGGTATTGGTAGACAAGTAAGTAAGCAAGTTGTGATATGATGGGGAAAACGTCTGTTTGGCAAATTTGATTCATTAATCCGATGGATTTGCAGTAGGCAATAGTCATTCCATATAGGAAGATAATTTTCAAACACTCTTTTTAGCGATCATAACCAGTCTTTATTTTTGGCAACTAGATTGGTTAAATGAAATGGAAATAACGAGCATGATTAAACGTGGGTGTGTATAAAGAGAAATGGAGAGCGTGTTTATTATTTTTCGAATGTGTAGCAATTATCATCATCTTTAGGTGTGATTACGTCCGTCAATGAATTAGCTAACTTGATTATGATTTACATCTGATAATCATGGACCAACTACTCATCATTGCCTTAGTAAGTTATTGCCTCACCAACTTGCAAATCGGACAAGAGCCCCTCCATGGTCAAGCAATCTCATATAAGAATGACATTAATCCATTTTTCACAAAACCTAGCTATGGTGGCTCAAACATGGAAGATTTACATGCATAAAATAGGAATATCATAGTGAAAATGTCTCAAACCAAACAAACCATGTCATGATGGTATAATTTATTTACAAGAAAAGACCAAGGTCGAATTAGGGTTTCGGATTCAATGTGTCATACATGCAATACGATCCGTTTGGAAACCTGTATACTGCATTAGGTTAACTAAACATGTCCCGCAACCATATACATGCTGAGTTGGCAAGTTCTGATTGTCCAGTGAAAGTCCACATGGTAACTAAGTAGGACCCAGTACGACCAAGCTGGCAAATCCAAACGTAGCGCACCTAGGAGAATGACACACAGCCAAAGCCAAATGGCAGAAAGAGAGAGAACGAGTCAGACGTAAGTTCCTATCTATATGAATACCACTCTCCAATCTCCGCATCCCTCTCTTTCATTTTTTCAAGTCTCTCTCATCCTTCCTCCTCCTCTCTCGCTCTCACATTCACAGGTTCGTTCATTTTCTGCGCTCGATCTCGATCTACTATTTCGCAATTGCTTCGAATAATGTCTGCCCGATCGGTATTTGGTTTTTGATTTGCAAGTCATTTGTTTCGTTAGATCCATTTCGTTCATTACATTTGATGGATTTTTTGTACCGTTCAGATTTCTCTGTTTAATATTTTGAGGATTTGGTGTTTATGGTTTTGTAAAATTTCATCGTTGAATCTCTTCGAGAATTGTGGTGTTTAATTAGATCGAGGTTTGTGATAACATTATGTTTTGGTTTGCTGATATCTGTGGCTAATTCTTGTTCATCGTTGTCTAGACTTTCGTAATCGAAATTCTGATTTCATCGGTAGGTAAGATGGGAATTGTTTAGATTTGGCATACCATGTGACATGATTCGGGATTCGGTTTTCGGTTTTTGGTTTCCAGTGACAGACATTTTATGCATGCTTTCATATTTCATATGCTTCTTTATTTTTATTTTTCCTTGAGATTTCAGTTTTCTTGTCGAAATGGAGAAGTGATTCTTATTATTTTGTTTTTTCGCAGTCTAGAGATGGAAACCTTCCTCTTCACCTCCGAATCCGTCAATGAGGGACACCCCGACAAGCTCTGCGACCAAGTCTCAGATGCCGTTCTCGATGCTTGCTTGGAACAAGACCCCGAGAGCAAAGTTGCATGCGAGACATGTACGAAAACCAACATGGTCATGGTCTTAGGTGAGATCACAACCAAAGCGAAAGTAGATTACGAGAAAATAGTCCGAGATACTTGCAGAGGAATAGGGTTTACATCCGCTGATGTAGGCCTTGACGCTGACAACTGCAAAGTCCTCGTCAACATTGAGAAGCAAAGCCCTGAAATTGCAGAGGGAGTTCATGGACACCTTACCAAGAAGCCCGAGGAAATTGGAGCCGGCGATCAAGGCCACATGTTTGGTTACGCCACAGATGAAACACCTGAGTTCATGCCACTCACCCATGTCCTTGCTACAAAGATTGGCGCCAAGCTTACGGAGGTCAGAAAGAATAAAACAGTTCCATGGTTGAGGCCCGATGGTAAGACCCAAGTGACTGTTGAGTACAAGAATGAGAATGGGGCCATGGTCCCGATTCGGGTGCACACCATCCTCATCTCAACCCAACATGATGAGAATGTCACAAACGAGCAGATTGCTGCTGATTTGAAGGAACATGTGATCAAACCTGTCGTCCCCGCCCAATTCATTGATGACAAAATTATCTACCACTTGAACCCTTCAGGTCGATTCGTCATTGGAGGACCCCATGGAGACGCCGGTCTCACTGGCCGGAAGATAATCATAGACACCTATGGTGGTTGGGGTGCTCATGGTGGTGGTGCTTTCTCTGGAAAAGATCCAACCAAGGTTGACCGGAGTGGCGCGTACATTGTAAGGCAGGCAGCAAAAAGTGTTGTAGCATCCGGGCTTGCTCGCCGCTGTATTGTTCAGGTTTCTTATGCTATTGGCGTTCCAGAACCCCTATCGGTTTTCGTGGATACCTACAAAACTGGAAAAATCCCAGACAAGGACATATTGGTTCTCATCAAGGAGAACTTTGACTTTAGGCCGGGAATGATTGCCATCGACCTTGATTTGAAAAGAGGGGGCAACCTCAGGTACCAAAAGACCGCTGCTTATGGTCATTTTGGCCGCGATGATCCAGATTTCACATGGGAGACCGTCAAGATCCTCAAGCCAAAAGCGTGACACACTAGCTCGTAGCCGCTGTTCAGCTTGGTAGAGAATAAAGAAACTTTCGACTCATACGTCTGATGTCGAGGTCTACATTTCGAGCCTCAAACCAGCGTTGAGAATAGGCGATGTGTGCTTTTAAGTTAAGGTAGTAGCAAAGTTAGGCGCCACTAGTATTTTGTTGCGTTGTTTATCATTTTTCATGTTTCCAAATTTTTCCCATTACCCAGCTTCTTGATTGTTGAGGATTCGGGCATTGGACTTGGTTAGAAGCTTATTACGAACAATTGAAATCGAATAATTGTATGATCGTAGACTGCAGTAGTTCCAATTTCCTTGTCGAAAGACAGAAAATCCAATCTTTTGGGCTTCTGGAACATCAAAGATATCATAAATCATAAGTTCATTGTACAACTAATGTAATAGCTTGGATGACTACACCCATAGCAAAAAGTTTGAAGCAATTATCCCTAACATGTCTCGTTTCACGAATGTAACCACAAGCGATCGTGCAACCGCTCTTCTCCAGCACCAAACATCTCATCAACCCTTTCGCCATCCCGGTAGAAATGGAAGGTGGGCGTGTAGCGAATGTGCTGTGTTGTTTCGGGGCATTCATCAATGTCTGCATAGACGAAAGAGAGCTTTGGGAAACTGTTACTCAGCTGGCAGAATGCAGGAAGGATCTGGCTACACACACGGCACCTGAAAACAATACCAAAATCGAAGCAATTGAGTCACTGAGGCAATTCATCAAACACCTTGTGTGCAAAATTCAATTGCTAATAGTTTTGAAAATAGTAGGAGTCGGAGACGTACCAAGATGCACCATAATTGATGACTGCCTGCAAGAAGATGAAAAAAGACAACATTTAATGGGTTGCGATGGAAAATTGCCATATACATATATACACATATATATAAATTGAAAGGTGGGATTTTGGGTGCATACAGGGGATTTGCAGGACTTGATTTGAACAAGGAGGTCTTTAAGGTTTTGGTCGCTGGAAGCACTCTTTAGGTTGCCATGGCGATTCTCTGGTAAATCCAAGCCCGTGCCTTCTAATCCCTTCTTGCTACTGGTGGCTCCGTCGCCTCCTCCGCCGACTCCTCCCGCCATTTCTCTCAGCTTTCAATTGTGCTCTCTCTCTCTCTCTCTCTCTCTCTCTCTCACCCACGAAGGCCACAATTGGATTTTACAATTCAACATTGTACACCATGTCATGTTAAAATGGGATGATTTCGACGAGGAACAGTGATTTGGCTAATTGTTTTCACTCAAGACGCCCATATAATTAGAGTGTAATTACATTTTACACCCTCCACATTTGAGGTGTGTTCTAAAATGAACTGTGCTCACATTGTAAGGAGAGAATGATTTGGAGTTCTTACAGAGTGAAACCATGCACTACCAGACACAAGATAGATCTTTCAAAGGACATAGCTTTTTTCAAACAAGCCAATTCATTTGGAACCTTGTGGATCCACTCGTTTTCTACTCAGAGATCAGCCTGGGTTTTCACATCGAGAATTCTTTGTGGATTAACAGATGTAATAGGATGACACTAACATGGTGACACGATTCTTGGATTCATGTCAAGTATTACTCAACCTTTATTCCGTAGTTTTACATTGGATTTATGTCATTCATCGAGATAAGCTAACAAGTGATCGAAAAGAACCGTCCGGTCGATCACCTCAAATAGAATTGTAATGGTTCAGTAAACAGTGAGAAGATGACTGTTAACATTTCCTCCATTTACAGGGAGGAGCGGGCTTTGCCCGGTTACCAGCATCTATAATGTTCTTCTGTTTTCCTTCTCGTCTCGCTCCCCTTCCAAATTCCATTGCAATGATCTCCTTGTTCCATCGAAATATACAGAGGATTCCTTTTGTTCCATCATCATTTTGGTATACGAGAGGCCGGTTCAAGTGCAGAATAACTCAGCATTTTGAAGCAAAAGAAGACCACTTGAACAACCGCTGCAATCAACTTGAGTTGATTTCAACCAAAGCCCCCGGATGGAACTTCTTGCACAATGCCTCTATGGCTGATTGAATTCGGTCTTGGTCCTGCAACCAAAATTCTCAATGATATTCATTCGAACAACTTATATAATGTAACTGCGTACCTAAAACCTCAAGAAATATTCTAGTACCTTGCCCTTGAAGTAGATTATAAGAGGCTCCGTCCTTGATTTGCGGCGACAACCTTAATATTTCCCATGGAAGATCACAATCAGAATTAATATATGATATCATGTTGTCCCAGAGATCTAAAGTTTTCAAAAGGCACTTACCAATGTAAAGGTCCGGAAATTCAAGGCAAAGTTTTGACAGAGGTTGAGCAATTTCTACCTGCAATTTTCACCCAAAAAAAAAGAGATGACTACCACGCAAACAGTAATATATCAATTTATTCCCAATTATTCGCATGCTAATACTGCACTCTATGTTTGACATTATATATTCCAGAATTTCTAAGAAAATGTGATCTTCTCAATTATAACTCAGTACTTCAATGACTAACATTTAGAGAAATCAATAGGTATCCTTCTGAAGTGGACTATATACACAAACACACAGACCACTTATCGCTCTTGGCATAAGTACTATAAGCTCGTCTAGTGCCTAGGATTTGATTGGATTTGATAACTCACTAGATTCAAGGTATGTTGAAGGAATATGAAGAAATTTCGACCATGTTGAAGATTGAAGACGAATTAGTCATGAAGGAACGTTATCCCTTTCCAACCCCACAAAGTGGTAGGATACCAACACCTAATAGCTTGACCTTCTAGTCGCCCCAAAATGAATAATAATTCACCTCTAACTTTATTTTTTAACTTCAACATACCTATGCCTATAATTTATTTCAATACCAGAAAATAAGATGTCAGAAGTTGAAATGGAAGCTACATTAATGAATTAGCAGGGATTGCAATACGTTTGTGTGTTGAGGTGGGGTGGTAAGTCTTGCATGCTACTGCTATCAGACTGTCAGTGTGGACCACCGCCCACCGCTGCTTATTGTTTAAACATATGCTTCCATTTAACAGTCCAGCAAATAAAAAGAGATTGTCTGGAAAAGAACATTGAGTGTGTCTTGCGTACGCACACCCAAATTTTCAAGACTTAATTATATTGAAAATATAATGGAATACGGAATTACTTACATCTGTAAGGTTTGTTGTCAAGTGCTTAGATACAAATGGTTGCATCGTTGCTAGTGCACCATCGGATCTCATTAGTTCAATTAGACAGTTCCACTGCTCATCCAGCTCCAAGATATTTGTTGCAGTAAGGATTATTACATTTTTACACTTGATCTGCAAGAGTCAATCATTTGATCATTCTATATATAATCCGTACTTTACTGGTCAGATATATATATATACACACAAATCAGTCAAGAGGAAACTTCAGATTTTTTCCAGTGGAAGCTTCAATATGATGTCACGAATTCTAGCTGACCAGATATACAAAAAGCAAAACTCCATATGCGACCTTTCAAATACATACCAAAGGGACAATCAGCTTTTCATGATGCAATAGTTCAGTGATACCTTCAGGCAACAGAGCCATCTGAGAAAGCAAAAACAAGAATAAAATCAAAGTCATGCTGTAGGACTCTGTCACTGTAAGATAAGTAAAATAACTATTTACGGGAACATATTACACAGAAAGTAACAACCAACAGAAATGAAACAAAGCACAACGAGATCGTGCTATCATACATTGCATTAAATAATAAGAAACTTGTAACATCTAAGTACCTCATTCCGGTCACCAGTGCATTGATCACCTATAAGATGCCTTAGATATTCTTCAAATTCTTCATCAGGAGCCTAAACAATGAAGATTGACCAACCTCAATATTGTTAGGGGCTTCGAGAAAAACTAAAATAATTGCATAAATTCGGACATCTCAATGATATTCTCATGGATTCCATTTTACAAGTCGATGGTTGAAGGATTAATACAGATTTCCATTTTCCAAGAATGAAATACTAACAGATTCAATAACATGTCACTATTTTGTGCTTTAGAAAGTTCAGCCAAAACAAACATACCAGACGAACAGCAAAAGCCTTTGCAACACCTGCCAAAGTGACATCTGAGTGCAGTGGACCAACCCCTCCACACATAAATACCTACATGGTAGTTTCGAATAACATTGACTAGAGATTAGAACAAAAAAAGGAAAAATCTCTCATCCATTTCATAACTAATAAAACCCCTAAGAACCATCAAACAGGTCGTAATGATTTACCATATCATCAGTTGATTGTCGTCGCTCGACTTCTTCGGCGACAGCATCTATCTGTTACCAAGAGAATGTCATGGAAAATGAAAATGTAAGGTGGTGCGAGTAAATGTTTCAGGTTCCACATGTAACTGCACATCCATCACTGCAGTTACATAATTTGATATATAGGTAACTGAAACTAGGCCAACTATGTTTTTTTTTTCTTAAAAAAAAAGAAAAAAACTTTGCAATAGGAACTCACATCATTCCGAACAACAGCAGTTTGTGATACCAACCAGCCAATAGAATGGAGCTTTCTACACAATGAAGGCCCTATTTGATCCTCAACAGTGCCAAACCTGAGCTATCAAACAGATAAAAAGAAACGAATAAACTTCAGTAATAACATTGGGTTGAGGAAAAAATGGTTACACAAGTTACTATGACATTTAAACCATGAATCTTTTCTTTCCTTAATGTTTTGAAGTAAATACTATGTCAGTCTTCTGGCACTAGTGACTGTTTATGTGTTCCTTTGCATAAGTTATAATTAAAAATGTAAGAAAAACAATGATCATGAACATGGACATGATGACTAATAAAGTTAACTCGAAGTACTAAATCCAATTTCGTTGGGTCTAACCACAACTATGAGAAATTTAGAGATGCTTCAGCCTAACTGTGAGATAATGAAAGGCTATAGAAAACAAAAGAGAATAGTTGAACAAAATGGTTTCTACTGAAAGTCCAACAAAACGCCTGAAATTTAAAAAAGTAATCACTGATCATTGATATCACGGCGCAACCAATGGGATACAGGATCTGAGGTGCAACCATATTGTTATGGTCATTGATTGCAATAAAAGAATGTAATACTGACGAAGGACTTACAGAATCTCATCCCCCACAGCAATGGCTGAGGACATGAGTAGGCTACTGTTATGTAAGCCCACACCATCAAGGCCATTCATAACAGCAGACTGATGCCCACGAACCGAAGAAGAAAGTTTTTTAACCCTTCCGGCTCTCTCTAATCTTCCATCAGAAAGTAAATACGCAGGTCTAAATACTTCTTTGTTGTCAGATGAATTGTTAATGCTCAATAATGCATTTGGAACTGTGTCATATATGCTTCCAATTGAAGTATAACTGTGAGAATGAAATAACATAAGTTAATTAGTCGAATATAACTAAACTAGTATAACAAAACAGTGCAATCAATTGAAATGTTACGACATATGCATCAGGAACCAGCTCAAAAATTATGGCGAGCATTGAAAAAAGTCAAGCATCAAAGCAACAATTCAAGCCACATACCCTTGATCATAAAGACTGCAGTACTGCACTTTGCAAGTTAAGAGTAAGGCCCACACATCTCTGCAATGAAGCGCATGGAAGTCAAACCCCACGAATGTACTAGAGTTTTGAATTTGGATAAAGAGGAAGCCTCCTGTTGGTTTAATGCAACGGTAACTAAATTCTGTAGCTTAGAATTTACTTCACTTTAGAATTTAGATCAAATACACTTCTAAGTCACACTTTTTAAGGTCATATAAAAGCATAAAATTCAGATCATATGACATTCTCATGTTGCATTAAACTCTTAGCTACCTGATACCTAGTACCAGAATTATTTTCTTTTGGCTTATCCAGGGATTTGTTTGTTCAATAAGTGGAAATTTTGTACATAGAAAACTCATTTTTCTATCTTTCAACGAGAAAAGCACTATAAAGACAACTTTGCTCTCTAACAGCCCTTTCCATATGCCGAAAAGAAAGAAAATAGATGAGAGAGGAAAAGGTACGAACATACCTGTATGACCAATCCAATATAGGATTCACCCTCATGAAAGGTGGCCATCCAACTGAACTGGGAGAAAATTGTTCTTGACCAACCTGCAAGTCAGAAAAGTTAAGGCATCTTTGCTACAAATGTCTGCAGAATAATCTGACAACCAGAGATATGTGTACAATATGATTGTATCTTTGCCGAAACAGAAAATCAATTACCGCAGTAGGATCACCGATTCGGACACCAAGGAAAATAGCTTTGATTGGTTTGGATTTTAGTAAATCCTCCAAACCAGACTTGAAATCAGAGCGAATGATATCCAGTTGCAAACCATAGCTGCTTAAAAAAGAATATGTTACTA